GGGGGGGCATACAGGATTTGTTTCATGACGGTAACGCTCAAAATCCGATCGAGCCCAAGTCTGGAGCTCCATACGATCCCGTGGATCCTTAACATCCTTGAGAGTGCGTTGAATATCACGGTATAGGGACAAGACCCGTGCACGAGTTAAAAACTAATGGAAATAAAGAATAAAATAAAAATAAATATAAAAATAAAAATAAAAATAAAAATAAAAGCCAGTTGCTGGTTTAGAAACTAAACATGGGAGACACCTTGATTGCGGAAATATATAACTAAATTTATCATAAGTATTATTGTCAGGTATATATTTATTAAACTTGCATATTCAAGACTAGGACCGTCCTTTACGGATGTCCGCTTGGCTGAGCGTGACAGTGATGCTGGTATGCTTGGTGGTACTTTTGTAGTCATTTATTCAAGATGGAGTAATGAGGTTGGGCGAACGAATGTGTTGAAAAAAAAAAAAAAAAAAAAAAAAAAAAAAGCACAGCGGCTCTCTCCTTCCTTTTCCGAGCAATTCAACACTCAAAGCCACTTTTCAGATTTCACTCTTCCAAAAATCATATGTTCGCTCTAGTCTCCATGTCAGATACTCTCCTGCTGTCATATTTCGACCTGCCTCAAACTCATCAACCTCAGCTCTCATTTCCTGTGGAATGAGAGGTGAAGGGATAGGACGCAGCCTGGTGTCATCATTAGCATGAATAAAGCAGGCAATCGAGTAACGAGAGTGATGAAGCTGTTGAGGATTATAAGTGACCCTGTGCATCGTAGACTTTAGCAAACCGTTAGTCCACATCTGGAGATGGTCTCCGATGTTGATCAAAATGGTATTAGGGATGACAGGTGCCGCTATCCAAGGTACGTCTTTATGAATCCTAGATGCTTGAACTTCAAGACCAGCAGTATCCTTCTGCATCAATAATGTAATAGAACCATAATCAGTATGACTAAAATGAAGAATAAAAAAAAAAAAAAATTGGTATCAGTAAGGTATAAAAAAGAACCTGCCGAGGCCGATCATTTGTCCATTCATAAAATTACCTTCCAGCTAAAGGTGTCTTTGGATCGCTATCCTGGGGAGGGTAATGTAAAAACCGAAGAGTGGTGCCTGAAGGCTCATCCCATTCATGACTTTTGTCAAAAAAATGCTGGCCTCCTGCACTCTCCGGTACTTGCAATGCGATGGCAAAACATTTCATAATATCTATAGCGAGACGATGGAGATCCTATTGAAATCAAGGAAATGAAGAGAGAGAAAAAAGACACTGTTAATAAGATGTTGAACATCTTTTTTATTATTACTATTACTATCATTATTATTACTTATTCTTGAAACAGTATTATTATAAAAAAATGTTGCTGCTTATTGATTGCTGATTAATTCTTGATTATTATTTGCTATTTTACCTTGAAAAAAGTGCCGACTCTTGCCTGCTCTTTCACATTGCCTTGAACAAAACACTTTGCTGATTCATCGTCGATTGACTTTTTGGTAATATTGAAAGCTCTAAATAAAAAAAAAAACATTGTCATGTGTTAAGAATACATGTTCTATTTTTTTTTTTTTTTTTTTTTTTTTTTTCGCAACAAATATTTACTAAAGCCATTAAAAATCCTCATACTCTTTCAAATCACCTTGAGTCTGATGCTCGGGATCCAAGCTATAGCAGGTATTCAAAAAAGAGGATATAGCGAAGGGTAAAGAAAATTGTCAGACATATCATGTAGCTACTACAAAAGTCGTAATGGCTTTTACCATTATCCTTCGTTTTTTTTTTTTTTTTTTTTTTACGTTTCAGATTTCATAGGAGAGTATCCAGAGTTATTTGGTCCGATGGGATATTGGTTCTTTTCTTGGACTGGCCTATCAAAGAACCATTTACTGCAGTCAAACATACGATCGATAAGCTCCGGAGCGATATCATGGTTCTTAAGGTAGAAGAATCCAATGTCTCTACTAGCCTCGTAGATCTGCCGCGCACACTCCTTGGGGTCAGAGACAGAGAGGCTAAAGTCGATAATAGGAATAGAGGCCATAGTGCGGACACTTATTCCAAAAATTCGCCAAAGGATGACAGATGGTGTTGAGAATGCGTGTGTGAATGAGTAAAAAAAAAAAAAAAAAAAAAAAGGGGAAGGGACAAAAACCTTCCGAGATGCATCCTGGCCAAAGCGCGTTCTCGTGGCACAAAAACTTCGTCATCCCCTTAATCAAAATATAAAGAGACTAGAACCTCTTTCCTTACGCACTCTTATGCCATCCGCGATTTTTTTATTTCTCGTGTCATATGAGGGATTGCTGTGGATACTGCCGCCAAACGCGTTGGTGTCGGTTTTGCGAGGATCCGATCTCTGCAGGGAAGGTTATAAAATTAATCAGCCCTATTTCAATGATTGAAAAAGATTGCACCTTTCAGGCATTAGGCTTGAATATTTAAGCCTCCCCAAGAGAGAAAAACCGTTCCGACATTTCCGGTTGGGGCAGCTGCAGCCAGGCGATAAGGGCGTAAGTTCTATGTCCTTAGCCACCAGAAGCTTCACGAGGATCTTGAAGCCCGTACTGATATCCTTGATAACAAATATGAAGACCCATTATAATCTATATAATGGGCATCCATGAGTAAGCTCTTGTATATAAACTTACCATACCGTTGCTTTACCAACTGATGGAGAGTACTAAATGATAAGATTATAGGCTGCTGCCTGGCTACTCTTGGCTTTTTTTTCTTTCTTTTTCTCTTAAATCAAAAAACAATGCTTTTCGAAAATAAATAATTCTATTAGATTTAATTTAATACTATTAATACCTTTTATTCAATAAAAATATTGTTTAAGAATTTTCTTTACGAATACGACCATAATCGTACGTTTGCGCCAGTTTCCATGCCAGATACTCCCTTGCTGCCATATTCCGACATTTCTCAAACTCAATAGCCTCATCTCTCATTTTCTGCGTGATGAGGGGTGAAGGAATAGGTTCCAGCTTGATGTCATCATTGGGAAAAAGGAAGCAAGCAATAGAATAGCGTGAGCGATTAAGTTGCTGGGGAATGTGAGTAACTCTGTGCTTTGTGGACTTTAGTAAACCATTGGTCCACATCTGGAAAAGGTCTCCAATGCTGACTAAAATGGCATCAGGGATTATAGGCACCGGTATCCAAAGCGCATCCTTATGGGTCCTTGATGGTTGGATTTCAAGTCCACCAATGTCCTTCTGTATCAAAAGCGTGACAGAGCCATAATCAGTGTGACTAGAATGGCAGCAACAAATATCTTACAGCGTCAAAAAAAAAAAAAAAAAAAAAAAAAAAAAAATTATTCAAATTTGCCATATATATATTCACAAGGCTACCTTCCAGCTAAAGGCGACTTTGGGTCACGATCTTGCGGAGGATAGTGTAAAAACCGAAGAGTGGTAGGCATTGGACCATCCCAGTCATGGCTTTTACCAAAGAAATGTCGGCCTCCTGCGCTCTCGGGAATTTGCAATGCGAGAGCTAAGCACTGCAGAACCTCATTGGCGAGGCGACTGAGGTCCTATTGAAAACCAAAAGAAATGTTTTTAATGGGTTCATGGGAAGTGTGTACTTTTTATGCAGATATTCTTTAAACGTATACTGAATCCTGTTCGCCATCTTTCTCTTGCCTTGAAGGTGCTGCTGATTGTCTTCTGATCAGCCACATCGCCTTGAGTAAAGTATTTTGTAGTTTCATCTTCGAGTGTGCTTTTAGGAATATTGAATGTTCTAAATAAAGCATACCAAGGAAGGCATATTCGATTCTCATTCTTTTCTTTCATTATAAAATATTAACTCAAGGCCATATAAATCATAAATCATTATACATCCTCATACTCCTTCAAATCTCCTTGAGTCTGATGCTCAGGATCTAGGCTTTGATAAGGTGGTGAAGAGAGAGGAAGTTTTGTCAGATAGCTTTGTGCTGTTATAAAGTTTTAGCGACCCTCAATATCGGTCCTAGCTTTTACGTTTCGGACTTCATAGGAGCATATCCGGTAATGTTTGGCCCAACGAGATATCGATTTTTGCTTTGGAGTGGTCGCTGAAAGAATCGCTCACTGCATTTAAGCATGCGATCAATCGACTTCTGAGAGACACCGTGGTTCTTAACGTAGAAGAATCCAATGTCTTTGCTAGCATCATTAATCTGTCGTGCACACTCCTCGGGGTGAGAAGTAAAGAGACTAAAGTCGATAACAGGGATGGACGTCATTATGTGGAGAAATGTTGTGGGGGTTCGTCAAGAAATGATAAGTGAAGACTTGAAGGAAAAATTTTCAAGATTGTAACACATTGCAGTAGTAGAATTAGCGCGTTATTAAAACACCAAATCTGTCATATATGCGCCTTCATAACCACCTTCCAGCTAAAGACGTCTTTGGATCATCATTTTGTCGTACGCACTCTTTCAGACCCGAGGCAGGTAGACTTCATTTGCTAATAGGGACGGAGGTAATGGTAAGGGGTTTGCTGTAAGAGTCTGTCAAGGAATGGTAGTGATAGTGGGTAAGACCCCACCCAGTCATGTATGTATCCTCATATGCATTTCAAATCTCAATAATACTCTCTAGTGACCTATTTTCTTTTATTGGGCGTGAAAAGCCCTAGCATTCTATCTGATACAATGATCCTAAGCGTATGTTCGCTTTATTCTCCATGCCACATACTCCCCTGCAGTCATATTTCGGCCTTCCTCAAACTCCACAGCCTCAGCCCTCATTTCCTGTGTGATGAGGGGTGAAGGAATAGGATCCAACTTGGTGTCGGCATTGGCAAAAAGGAAAAAGCCGGTCGAGTAGCGTGGACGATAATGCTGCTGAGGATCATAAGTAACTCTGTGCTTGGTAGACTTTAGCAAACCATTAGTCCACATCTGGAGATGATCTCCGATGTTAACCAGAATGGCATTAGGGATTACAGGCACTGGTATCCAAGGTACATCTTTATGAGTCCTAGATGCTTGAACTTCAAGTCCACCAACATCCTTCTGTATCAAAAGCGAGACAGAGCCATAATCGGTATGACTAGGACGGGAAAAAAAAAAAAAAAAAAAAAAAGAACTCGCAGCAGCATTAGTGGGTTATAAGAAGCCAAGTTTGTCGTATGCACCCACAAAGTTACCTTCCACATAAAGGCGTTTCTGGATCACAACTCTGTGGAGGGTAATGTAGGAACCGAAGATCAGTGAGACAAGGGGATTCCAATTGATGGCTATTGTCAAAGAAATATCGGCCCCCCGCACTTTCAGGTATTTCCAATGCGATAGCAAAGCATTGCAGAATATTATTAGCGAGGCGATGGAGGGTCTATTAGTATCAAATAAAACGAAGGGAAAAAAAAAAAAAAAAAAAAAATAGTACTATCAATAAGCTGTCGGGTGACTTCTATGTGTTGCTGCTGCAATATTAAAATACGGATAATGATAATAAAATACGTCGATTGCTGACTGATACTTCCTATCTTACCTTGTAGAAATTGACAACCTTCTCCTGCTCTGCCACGTCACCTTGAACAAAGTACTTTGTTGACTCTTCATTCATTGTATGCTTCATAATATCGAAAGTTCTAATTAAAAACCATGTTCATATGTCAAGAATACACAATTAACTTTCTTTTTTTCACTATAAAAAAAAGAGATACTAAAAGCCATTGTAGACTATTCATACTCTTTCAAATCACCTTGACGCTGATTCTCGAGATCCAAGCTTTGATAAGTATTCAGGAAAAAATATAATAGATAAAAGAGGAGAGTGAGGGGAACTGTCAGTTTACTCTAAGCTCTTTACAGAAATACATTGATTCTTAATATTGTCCCAGGCTTTACGTTTCGGCATTTATTGGGGAATATCCATGGACTAAGTCCTTCATGAGGTATCGATTCTTGCTTTCGAGTGGTTGCTGGAAGAATCGCTTGCTACAGCTGAACAAGCGGTCGATCAAGTCTTGACAGACACCATGGTTCTTAATATAGAAGAACCCAATGTCTTTACTAGCCTCACCGATCTGCCGCGCACATTCCTTGGGATCAGAGGTAAACAGACTAAAATCGATAACAGGAATAGTTCCCATATCGTAAAGGCTTGCTATGAGCGTTCGTCAAAAAAATGTGTGGAACTAGGAGGGAATGATTAAAAAAAGGAAAAAAAAAATGCTGTGCCAATGATTTGGGTGTGCGTACACCCAGTAGTCACGTTGAAAACACACAGAGTAAGAGTGTCAGCACATTGGCACATTGGCACATTGGCAGCACCCAATGAAAACACAGAGCAAGGGCTGTCGACACCGCACGGATACACAGCACCACACGAAACACAGAGCAAGAACTGAAAACCTTCAATTTCCACTTGTCACATGACAACAGCTATTTGAAATTGATTGCTACAAGCCACAATATTGAAACTAGGGTGTGTGTGTGATTTGGGTGTGTGTGTTATCCACACACTCAGCAGGCAGATAGAGAACACACCCAATTTCAACACTGTGGCTTGTAACCAATGTTATCTCCTTGGGCTTGAGTGCATCCATCCAAATGGGTGCCCTCTTTTTGTTATAGATCTATAAGGCTCCCACCTAGCAACAATAATAAACAACGTTTGATCTCCTTACCATAAAACTTTTTTAGCTAACCAACTATAGCAACATTTGGATCAATTATCAATAAATCTCTATCATCCTACAACACCTTCAAAATGTCAAACATTACTATCAACACGGAATCTGCTTTCACTCTTTTGACAGGGATCTTTTGGCTTGTGGCTGAACACTTAGACCCATCGAAAAAAGACTTGGATCTCCACAAAAAGATTATGATTCTTTTGGGGTCAAAGGACAACACCCCGGTCCTTGAAAAAGACTCAACCCTCTACATGAGGGGAAAGGTATGTATCAAAAATATGTATACTTATAGTGTATTAAAAAAAGAGGCCATAATTTACTAAGCTGCCCTCGTTTTTTATTCTACACAGGCACAAGAAAACGATCACTCTTCCTCGGCCACCAAGATAACTGATGAGTTGACCTCTCTTTCGTCCTCTGTTCTTACTTCCGGACTTGAACGGCTCTCCTCTACCCCAGAACCTGGTTCATTCTCTCCCACTTCTGAACCTGGTTCGTTCTCTCCTACTTCTGAACCTGGTTCGTTCTCTCACACTTTGGAATCCCCTCATGGTAAATTTTCTCAGTCTCCCTCCCCTCTAGACATGTCTCATAAAAACGACCTCTCCAATTCTCAGAGGGATTACATGCATGAACATTCGCCACTTTTTCCAAATGGAGATGTAACATACTTTCTCGACATGAATGCCGATGAGGGTCCTTCTGATACTAATGTCGGGTGGGCTATGTTAACATATAGTCACAGTGAAGCGAAAAGGGGAGAAAAAAGTATTTCAAATCCTGTTTGGGTGTGTATCATTGTCCGGCCCCTGGGTGTATGTGTCACAGTAGACCAAAGCTTCCTCGAGCTGGAAGAAAGAAACATTGTCTGCCATTACCTGAAACAAAGACTTGTCCCCTGCACTAAGTCCAGCTCGCCCATGTGCCCTGCATGGCTACGTTGTCCATAGCATTCTCTCCTCACGACGCCACAGAACCAAAAAAGGCAGAGCTATACCACCAAGGTGTACACGATCATATCAAACCCCACTTTTGGAAGCCTGATTTAAAGTCGTTGAAGAAACTGAAAGATATCATCGCCGTAAACCCAGCCTCCAAACCAAAGAATCTTCTAGTCGGCACTATTGATCGCCCTTCTGTCGCAAATATTCACCCTTCCCTTGGGAATCTCAATACAGTTGGTTATTATAGGAGATCATTCTTAAAAAACAACGACCTTTCACTAGGGGACATTTTCAAGCTGGAGGAATCAGTTAAGGAACGTTTCTTTAGCTCCACAAGCCTTTCATCAAAGGATGCACATATCACCATCCAAACTAGCTTCATGAAGGAACAACAGTGCCAGTGGATTGATACTGGCTTTCAAAGTGATTCAATCCATGGATTTGTAGTAGACACGAAATTCCAAGACATTAACGTTACGTTCACGTCAGGAAAATGCAAGATTCTGAATAGGAACGTACCAATAGCCATATCGATAATGTTTGATATCGCAAGAGCACTACAAGAAGCACTTTTTGGTTTTTCTGAAATCCTTTGCATACAAAACTTTTGACGATTTCAAAGAACACTTTCCTGGAATGACCTGCGATTTGTCGGAGGCCGAAAGAAAGGGCTTTATACTAGCCTTAAAGGAGCAATTCGCCATTCATGGTGAAGAAATTGATTTAAGTGGTCTCTATTAATTTTGTCATGTTCATCAAGCGCTCACTGAACAGGACTGCATGGAATGGAGCAACAATTCCAGCAGAAGACAGTGCAGAGTTCATGAAACTTGGGATAGAGTTACTCGATGATTCAATCTCGGTGAAGCAATTTGAGGCTACTGTCACTAGCATTCGTGTCAGGTTCAAGAAGATTGGGCCATGGATTGATTGGTATCTCAACCCTTCTCGTGGTAAATTGCTATTCCCAGCCCTACGTGATATTGAAAACCCCAAACTTTCCGATAACACAAATGCACAAGAAGGTATTGGCAATGACTTCAAGACAAGCAGCGGCGAGAAGAACTTGTCAATATTATCGGCGGTGCGTCACATACAGTACATAGGTATACGGACTTGATTAAAGACGACTTTAATAGAGTTATCTCAGGGATGAGCATTCGGTATCAATCCTCTAGTAGTCGCTCCCCAGCCCCAAAGAAGTCGAAAGCATTGAGAACGTCAATGATGGAAGACCTCCAGAGCTCGGTGCTCCGTGCATCAGCTCCAAGAAGAAACGTATTGGACGACCACGAGGAAGCAGGAATAAGGCACCAATGTTTTGGTCCAAAATTGAGCTTTCGATAATTGGGACTCCTTGGGGGATCAGTTACAAGAAATTTGCAGCAACAAATTCCTGTCCTCTGGATACAACGCTCATGATTTGGTACCTTCTTCATCGATCTGCCGGTATAGAACTCCCTATGCATGTGAGAGATAAGCCAAGGAATATAAGTAATACCAAGAATGTTGACAAATCCCTGACGATAGGTGGCATATTTCAGAATATTGTGGCAGCAATCACAAGAGGCGAGCATCATAGGGCAAGATGGCTGTTTTGTATAGAATTGTTGAACATGTCACCTGAAGGACAAGTGGATTTGTTTGGGAGCATCGATAAAACATTTCTCGAGCCACTGAAGGATGTATTCAGCATTCAATGGAGGAATCGCACCACCTGCTCCTTCAAGCATTGTCCGAAGGGAGAAAAAGATGAAGAAGAAGATGCCGTCACAAAGTACATAGAGGGCGTTGCTCAAGGATCATCACTTACACAAGATATCATTAGAAGTTTTGGTGTTAATGATACAATATCACCATGCAATCACATCATAAGCAGTAGTGATGCTCAAAAAATTGGGGCAGAAAAACTCGAAGTTCAGGATATCATCGACATCGATGGAAGGAGTTCTTCTCCAGTGTACAGCTGTCCAGGGTTCAGGTCAACAATGGAAAAAAGTATATTGAAGCTGCCTTATATGCTCTCGTTAACTTCTCATGGCAGATCATTTGGACGTCTTTGTCCTCCTATAACTTTGGAGGTCAACGATGTGGAGTATCGGCTTGGCGCCGTTATTTTTTTTTGGGAGGAAGTCACTTTACATCTACTATATTTACTAAAGGCAAGGCACTGCATTATAACGGGATGGCAGCCAACAAGTTGGAGTGGGTGGATTTACCTAATATTTCGCCAAACTATTTATCTGCTGAGATCTCTCATATTTGGTACTACAAGGTTGAAGCAACTGTCTCTGGTGATTCATACGAGCTTGGGACTGACTCATGTTCCCAAGATTCAGATAGTTCCGAAGCCACTCGAGAGGAGGAAGTAGAGCAGAGTTGGCAAGATAATTTGAGAGAAAGTGAATGTGAGCCAGATTTTGGCAATGATGATTTGGATGACCTAGCTCACATTGACAAGCGAAGGACAATTGAGAACGATGCTGGTGAACCTGTTCGTGAGTCAATGAATTTAAAAGAGGCCTCTTCGAAACCATCATCCCAAGTATCGCATAGGAACCGACCCCAATATCCAATTGGGATATGTGTAAGAGAAATAAGCAGAAAAGGTAGAGCCCCAACACGTGCCTGCTCTGAGCAGACCATTGACCGAAGTGAGAGACGCCTTGTGCACAAATACTATACCAATCAGGAGAAAAGATATACAAACACAGTGTCATATCATTTCCGTCAATCATGTCTTCTTCGCCTTGCACCGAAAGAATATGAGACCGCAATGTCACTTGTGTCCCCTGAGAACTAGATATAGACAGTGTTACGTATCGAGGCTTGGGAGTGCACCTCAGGGACACTTTATAAGGTCAGAAAATTGTGTGGCGGCCATGACGGGACCTTAATAAAAGGCTCCCGTCTGTCTGACAACAATAATAAAAACAACCTTTTGATCCCCTTGACCTCAAGCCTAGAAAACATCCCAGATATGTATCTTAATATATCATGTAAAGTTTGTAAACCATTACAAACGTTCTCAATGTCTTTTATTAAATTTTATTAGCTGATACCCAGGTAAGATATGAGGCAGAGCTACACTGTGACTTCCCTCGTTTTTTCATTGCTACTAAAAAAAATAAGGAGCATTCGTGATTTTGCATATTGACTACCCAAGCCTTAAGCCCTGGATTCAAGTTGATTCCTTTCTTGTTTTTGGCCATGTTGACTACGAGGGGTGGATGTGGGAAAGCAGTGGTTTGTTTGGACCAGTGAGATCCCTCCTTGAGCTCGGAGAGCGAGGACCTCTTATCCCATCCCCTGTGCGCTCTGATTTTCATAAAAAAAAAAAAAAAAAAAAAAAATTTGAGCTGCTTTAGATCTGTCGTGATGTTGTGAGCACCATTGGTAGTCTCATCGAAGCAACTGAAAATAGGAAAATTGATATGGACCGTAGGCACAAGATCGACTGCGCTGCAGGAGAATTATCGAAAATTACATTTATGCCAGGAAGGCAAAAGGCTACAGGAGATGATCCTCTTGTTTAGATCTCCAGTAGGATCTTTCCAAAAGAAAAAAGTTTTATATATTTACAAATGGAGACAATCAACATGCAGGTAAATTCGCGATGTATAAAAATATATAAATTTATATATAAGATCCATTCTCTTTTATTCCTGGTAATCTTTTTCAAATGAAACCTCAGGTGTTTCTGGTTCATACTGTGTTCGTAAACGCTTGCTGCTCGGTTGCTCAATCTTTAATTGCTTGTACAGATGATCCTCAACTTCTTCCTCTTCAACTTCCTCCCCTTCCCTCATCCTCTCCTCCTCTTCTCTCCTCTTCTCCTCCTCTATTAGCCTTAATTGTTCCTCATCATATACAAGCTTGGCAGAATTTATAGTAGACGGCAATGGTGGCTGATTTAGGGAGCTCAGTTCCTCACGGAACTTGTAGGGCTTCATATCTCTCATTCGCCTTTTTAATTGTTGTCGCGGTCCATCGGAATCATTGGTGGAGGAGCTATCACCAGCCAAAGAACCACGATGGACTAAGGAGCAAGCAAACATGCCAAAGTTAGATTTATGTAGGCTTCTCATAAATTCAGAATGATCGCGATAGAGATGCAAAGCTTACTTGGAGTAGATGTCTTAACTGTACTCATTATTATGAGCCTTTCATTCATCTCTTTCATCATATCCTCAAGAACTGTCATTCTTCTGTTTACACTTTCGTTTATTTTGACCTCATTGTTGGCGTACTTCCTGAACTCGTCATGCAGTTGGACCACGGCACTTGTATTGCTTGCCATTTTGTCTTCGAGCTTGTTTGTAAATTCATTTATGCCGGACTCAACGGTTTGGATTAGACGTGTATGGATCTTATCGCTAAATCCAACAATAAGTTTTTGCGCTGATTCAAAGAAATCTGAACAGATCTCCTTTAAGTCAGTATTGGCCTCATCTAGCGCCCGTAACCTCCGGTGCTCTATGATCCCTGGTGAGTAATGTCTGCTGGAATGAGGTGAGGGTGAAGGAAAAATACGATTCCTTATGGCTTTAGGAGCAGGTTTGTCAAAGACGCCATCCCCGTCAGAGACGCCATCCTCGTCAGAGACGCCATCCCCGTCAGAGACATGGCCACAGGCAGAGGTAAGAACAGGAACACTAGAGAGAGCAGCACTGGTGGGATGGATATTTGCCTCTTCAGAAGAAATAGCGTTGGTTCGGGTATTGGCCTCTTCAGAAGAAATAGCGTTGGTTCGGGTATTCGCCCCTTCAGAAGAAATAGCGTTGGTTCGGGTATTGACCTCTTCAGAAGAAATAGGGCTGGCATGGAGAACAGCACCGATGGGATATTGCTCCCGGAAATATCTGCATGTTTTGTGATGTTTCTTTGGAGCTGACGCGAGAAGCGAAGCGTGGTTGCATTTGGGATGTGGGCAAGGATAGGCGTATCCGCAACTGGGGTCACGATGCACAACAAAAGTTTCGATGGTGTATTCTGATTTAAATACGACAGGTTGAGGTGAGTGATAGGTACTATTGTGCGTTTTTCTTGCACTTTCTGGAGCATCTGAAGGGAATGTGCATCGCTTGATATCGAATGGACACCTTGGAGGACGCTGCATTGGGAAGTTGAGGGCGAGAAAATGAAGAGGTGAAGAGGTGAAGAGAAGGAGAGAAGAGTGTGTATATCAAGAGATCTGAATAATTTGAGTAAAATGTACAGTGGCCAGACAAAACGTATTGTAGAGTCCTGCCAGAAAGTCATGAACTGGATATATTTTAAAATACTCAATTTGAATTAAAATTCGAAAAACAAAATTTACGTACGAAGACAGAAATTCATATACTTTTCGAATAGAATGAATGACTTGATGGCCACCAAATCAATTCAATCGTCGCTTTTGATTAAAAGTACTGGAATTTACTGGGAATGGACAATCCCATCCTCGATCTCATTTTCTACCTCATCCTCATTGCCAACCTACTTTACTCGCAGTATTGAAACAGTGGATCTTACGCCAGATACTAGAAGCATGTTTGATGTGAAAGAGGAGAGCGAGTCTGAGGAAAACGCTCCCGTAAAAATTTAATTTTGAGTTTGTACGTGTTTCCTTCTGTCCAAAAGTGAGAGTATTTTATTCAATTTAAAAGTCCAAAAAATATATGAGTTCATGACTTTTTGGCAAGGACTCTAAAGCTTATTTTAAAACAGATCGAACAATTAAAATGCTGTATTTTTAAATACAGTGGAATCTCGATAATTGTACACTTTTGTACAAATTTCAAATTTGATATATTTCTAGGCCATTGGTTGGCTAAGAGCCTTACTCTTTTAAAAAAAAGTATTCAAAAAAACCCACACTCAACTGGAGTAGAGGAATCAGCAGAGGATTTTTAGAATAGTTTTTCATGAATTGTGGGCTTCTTAGCCAATCAATAACCGAGAAATATAGCAAATTCGAAAATTGTACAAAAGTGTACAATTATCGAGATTCCACTGTACACAATTTGAAGTAAAACTCCTTACTTTTTCACAACTGAGCCAACTGATCCTGTTGATTGCATGACAGGTTTGTGTCCATGTCCACTTGGCAAATTATACCGACTGCCTGTGGTTGCCCACAAGCTTTGTGTAACAACTCTCGCATTTCTTCGGATCCATACCAATTGATCCAGTTGTATACTGCTGATTGCATGACAGACAGGTTTGTGTCCATGTCCACTTGGCAAATTATACCGACTGCCTGTGGTTGCTCACAAGCTCCGTGTAACAACTCTCGCATTTCTTCGGATCCATACCAATTGATCCAGTTGCATAGAGTCCTCGCCAGAAAGTCATGAACAGATATATTTGCCACGTTTTTATATTGAATAGAATACTTCCATTTTTGGACATCAAGAATTTTAAGAATTTTTTTTTTTCTATTGTATCTATAGTGCGTGCCAAAACTGATGCAATAAATTGCATTTTTCAACATTCATTCCTCATTCTCCTTCTTCCTCTTTATGATCTTCCCTGCCACCACCGTTTCTCATTCTCATTTGTCTCACCTCCATGGAGTCTCATCGTCATCGCCATCAGTGGCCTAATTAGCATTTAATTGCAATTTGCTTTCAGCATCTCATTGCATCTATTATGGCAATTAACAACTTCTTGTTTTTATTTATTCCTGTTACTTCTCCTTTCCCCTAACGATGTTCCCTCCTTTAGCCTTATATAACTCCCTCATCCTCTTCGGCATACCGCAGTATAGTTTGTGTAAGAATTCAGGAGGGATATGTGTCCATACGTCTTGGACTCTCTCCCAGAGATCCTCCATATTCTTTGCCTTGTCTGGATAATGATCCAACTGCACCTTCATGTATGCCCATATGTTTTCTATTGGGTTGATGTCAGGAGAGTTTGCTGGCCCTTCCATGAGAGGTATCTTAGACTTTTGGATATAGGTCATTGCTATTCTTCCGGTATGAATCCTAGCATTGTCCTGCTGAAATATAAATTTGTCCTTATCCATCAAGTAGTAATCCCTGGACTTAAAGATATAATCCTTGAGAACGTCGACGTATGTTACCGAATCCACCTTCTCTTGGAGCCAGCAGCCATCGCCTGGTCCGTAGTAAGTTATACAACCCCAGAACATCATTTTGCCTCCACCGCCTTGCCTTGTCTTTTTGATATGATGTGCTCGTAGAGTTTTATCCCATCGATGCTTGTAGTAGTACTTTCTTCCGCAGGACCCAACTCTGCTAAAGATGGTCTCATCTGAGAACATGACGTTCTTCCAGTCTTCTAGAGTCCAGTCCAAGTGATCCTTTGCAAAATTATATCGAGCATAGATTTGCTTCTTCGTCAGATCAGGCTGCTTCTGTTTTACATATGCCCCCATATCATCCTGCATAAGGAACCTCCTGATGCTCGATTTACTAACCTGCACTCCTTCCCTCAATTGAACAAGTTGTTGGCCATCTTTTAGGGTCTCCAATACACCCATGTCAAAAAATCTTGATAAAAGCTGCTTCGTTTTCTTAGTAACTTTGCAGGGTCGGCCCCCTCTCAGCACTGGAATACTTTCTTTGCCTCTTTTCCTAATCCTTTGAGCTGAGGTAACAGATATCCCTAAACTCTTTGACACTTCTCTGGAAGACTTTCCCTGATGAAGTAGAGCAGTTGCATTTTGGATAGTTGATTTGGATAATGATTTCATGTTATGATAAAGATATGGCAGATATGTAGAGTGTCGCTTGGTGTATCAGTGGTGATGGTGCTATAAAGAAAGAATAAAGAATAAGAAAGAAGTAAGGGATGGACAAACCTGACATGTACTTTTTACCAAAACTGATGCAATGAGACATGACTATACAAATGGCGATTATTCGCTAATTGCGTCATTGATGAGAACAGCGATGACAGTCTACGAAGGTGAGACAAATGAGAATGAGAAGCGGTGATGGTAGGGAAGATCATTAGAAAGGAAAAGGAGAATGAGGAATGAATGTTAAAAAATGCAAATTATTGCATCAGTTTTGGCACGCACCATAATTCAAAAAAAATATGTCCTTTTCAAGCTCCGTACGTAAAATTATGTTTTTGCAAATATTAATTCAAATTGAGTACTTTAAAAATATATTTGTTCATGACTTTCTGGCGAGGACTTGAGAGATATGGGTGATCAATATGAATAATATGGATTGGAAAGTGAATGAGAAACATTCATCCCTTTATTGATCACCTCCTCCTACTTATATAAATAGGGTGAAGGACAATCTCTAATTGACAACTAATAATTGATAAGTGAAATTACTACTTACATGTGATTGATACGTATGTCACAGGACTCCATGTTGAAATATTTTATGGTAAGTCGGAAGTCAAGGAGATCAAAAGTTGTTTATTATTTTAGCTAGGTCGGAGCCTTATATAGGCTCCAACATAGCCGTCACTAATTGCTCTGATCTTTGAATAAAAAGGGGAGTGCTCCATTTGGGTACACTCCCTAGTCTCAGGACGTAACACATGTGCTGTTTGCTCTTTTTGATTAGTCCTTTTCAATTGCATGAATTTTGTTAAGCAAACCATTTATACTTGAAAAGGTCTAACCAAAAAGAGCGAACAGCACAGATCTGACTCTATGTCAAGGACTGACAGGACGAGTGCAAGAGAAGGTAAGTGATTTAGGAACAAGAATGAACTTAGGAGATTCAAGAATAGTTTTATTGCAGACTGAGGTTTACTATGTTACAAATCTATCATATTTATACTTGTTTGACTGAAGCGGAGACGCGCTTCTGTTACGTACCGAGGCTTGGGAGTGCACCTCAGGTGCACTTCCATTTTTATTCATAAGGTCAGAATATCATGTGACGGTCATAGAGAGTCCTTGATAAAAGGCTCTCGTTTGACAATAATAAAAACAACTTTTGATCTCCTTGACTTCTAATATACGAAAAACATCTCATTTTTTCAAGGTCCTACACAGAGTTGTATCAAAAAAATTTTTTTTTCAAACATCCGTCGTAAATCCATCCCTGTCAACAAAAAATGAATCCATCCGGCCTCGCGAACATCGGTTCTTCCTCAAACGAGCAGAACTTGGATCATCCTTCAGGGCCCAATGCTTACTCGGAGGGAGCACAAAGTCCACGACAGTCTGTTCAGCACGGGACAGATCAAGCTGTCGCTGATCACGATGCTAACTTGCAGGACAAAGTGCAAGAACTGAACAAGCTCATGGCTATGATCGATATACAAGAGCAGGTTGGCGATAGAACTTCAGAGGAAGTAGTCATGGGACCAGACCAGGACGATCCAGTTGTAGTCTTGGGGAGCTATGAAGCAAGATTGAAGAAGTTGCTTTCAATCCGGCTGTTGCTTGCGTCCAGGTATCATAATGCTAGTAGCACGATCAGGGGTCTTAATATAGACTCCAACCTCAAGTCCGATGCCTTGATGCGACTCAAGAACAAGAGACAGGAAATATGGGACAGTTTGGAGGCCGACATCGTTCCTCTAAAGGAAGAGATCAATTGCATGAAGCACGATCTGGCCCTTTTGGACGGTGGTTCAAGACCGATTGCGTCAATTGAACCACCAGCGCTGTCAAAGCCGCGTGGACAAGAATTCCACGTTAAATGGAATAGTTCCGACAACAAGGAATATTTCCTTATTTACCAAACCTTCAAGTTGGAGTACATCCCACTTGACCCTAAATCCAAGGATGTCGACTACAGCCAGATCAACGGCTCGAAGTTCAAGGACTACCCAGTTCTTGAGTTAGATTTGTCAAGGACCGCTCGAGAGGACATAATGAAGGAATTGGCTAGGAAAGTCAGGTATTTTCTCAAAACCTTTCAATCGTTCTACCAACGTAGCTTACCAGGCATCCTATTTGAGAAGATGGCTTGGATATATATGTCCTTGTCGTTGAGCAAAGTAGACAGGGCCACGCTAGACTACGAGGAGCGTATCCAGAAGTTTCCTCAATCTGAGAGAACATGGGATCGCGTCAAGGATTGCGTCTATAGAACTCTTGAGTTTGACAAGATCGAGCTCGATCTTGTGAACGAGCTGTTAGAGGTACGTCTCAAAGATGGTGAAACAATCCCTGATTTTGCAGCACGAGTTCTACCCTTGATTGAATCACTAGATTTGTCGGATGA